TACAAAAGAATGACACACAATTACAGCACCTTTGCTGCAACTACCTATCACTCTGCTACTACCATTACTACCTGTTATAAACCAGTTGGTTCCAATAACTCAAGTTATTAGGAGAAAGTTATGCTGGATCTTATTCCATTCTCTAACACGCCCCCTCAAAGAAAAACCAACCCATGAGCTTGAAGTTTGCACAGACAATCACCATACCTTGTGCTTTCATCAACGGTTAATATTGGGGATTGTGGAGATTTGGACACACGACCACTTGGCCAAACCAGCTCTAATACCATGTCATGAACCAGTTGGTACCATGATAAATCTCACAAACTGAACATGAACAATACTGCGATTTACGTGGTATCCTCGTTCACAAGAACGAGACTAATCCACGGAAGACTCTCTCAAGGAGTCTTCGACTGGAATATTATTAGGGTTTTTACCTTCATACAAAATTATGTATTCGGTCAAGCAGTAGCTACAGATATATATGATTTCCAATCCCTTACATCAATTAACAAGGAATGAAAAATTACTAACCAGCTCACAAACAAAGTAAACTGGACAAACAAGGACCACCTACACGTACTCTACCATACACGTACGTGTGGCTCACATAACACGCCCCCTCAAGCTAAGACATGAATATCATGAAGGCCAAGTTTGGAAGTCAGGTACATTAACTGATCCGCACCCAAGCCTTTTGTGAACAGATGTGCAACTTGATCAGCTGAAGCGATCTTGCGAGGTGCAATCTCCCGAGAGGAAACACGCTCGCGGACAAAGTGACAGTCCACTCAACATGCTTCGTGCGTACATGGAAAACTGGTTTGACAGCAATGTGCAAGGCCGCCTGATTGTCACAATATAGTGGAGTCGAAGAGGAAGTAGGAACTCCCAATTCGCCTAGTAAGTAGTAACCACCAAAGTCAAATGAGTTCAGTGGTTGTACTTGCCCTCGCTCTATAGTCTGCTTCAGTAGAGGATCGGGCTACAACGGACTGCTTCCTGGTACGCCAAGATACCGGGGAGTCACCCAAGCTGATAAAATAGCCAGACGTAGACCGACAGGTACGCTGACACCCACCCCAATCAGCATCCAGTATGCAGTTAGTCGAAGCTGACCACTAGTAGGGAATAGAAGACCACAACCAGGTGCACCTTGAGGTAGCGGAGCACTCTATATGTCGCATCTTCGTATTCTTGACGAGGGGAGTGAACATCCTGACTGAGAATGTTAACTGCGTAGACAATGTCGGTGCGAGTAATCGTTAAATACTAAAAATGACCAACCAGTCGCTGAAAACCAGAAGGATCCTTGGTTGTAGGTCCTTCAATACTAGTAAGATGATGATTATGCTCAATAGGGAATGCACAGGGTTTCACATCATTTCATAAACCAGTTGGTCTCAATAACTTGAGTTATTGGGAGCAACTGGTTCATGACAAGGTATCAGAGCTGGTTTAGCCAATTGGTCGTGTGTTTGAATCTCCACGACCCCAATATTAACACTTGATTAAAGCACAAGGTATGGTGATTGCCTGTGCAAACATCAAACCCATGGGTTGGCTTTCATTTGAAAGGGCGTGTTAGAGAGTGTTACAAGATCTAGCATAACCTTCTCCCAACAAATCGAGTTGTTGGGACCAATTGGTTTATGACACTCTCTAACAAAGGCTAAAAAAGTTCACACCAAAACGGCTACCTAACACTTTGCCTTCCAATACAATCTAACTAGGGTAACAAAGTTTACATCAAAACTTGAATACTGTAAGAGAGTTGTATAAGATCCAACATAACCTTCTCCTAACAACTCGAGTTATTGGGACTAACTGGTTTAGGACATGATATCAGAGCCGGTTTGGCCAAGTGGTTGTGTGTTCGAATCTCCATGACCCCCAATATTAACTATTGATTAAAGCAAAAGGTATGGTGGGCCTGTGGAAACTTCAAGCCTGTTATTTGGCTTTCGTTTGAGGGAGCGTGTAAGAGAATAAGCACATTTTTGGAGTAAGAACAAGTGAAAAAGAGATGGTCTCTCGTCTCCTGCCATGTGCCACAAAATAGTGAAATTTGGTCTTGTAGTTAATATGTCTTTAGTAACGAGCTAGCTGAGAAAATTATGCCTCAAAATAGTGAAATTTGGCCATATCAGTTTGTACCAGTTTACTTTTAGTCGTGTTGGTTGGAGATCTTCCCATGTAGTTTTAAATGAATAGGTGAACATTCTTTTGCTTTTCCAGTTGACCTGAGTGCCCCAACATTTTAGAAAATGTGCCACTTTATCTCTGATCTTTAACAACCTCCTCCAAATCCAATTACAAGAGCTAGTAGGTTTGAGTTCTCATAAGGTTTTGTCCTTAATTCAATACATGTAGATTAATGCTACCCACCAGGATCCACCACGTGTTAATAGATTCCAGATAAGTCGAGTTGTGCAGGCCACATTCCAAGTTTTCAAACATTTTACCCCCAATCCGCCTTCCTCCTTTGGAATGGCTAAAGAACCCAATGCTACCACAACTTTATTTCTATTAGTACCTTCGTCAATCCCCCATAGAAACTTACTACACTTTCCCTCAATCTCCTTTATCACTGACATTGGAAGCAAGAATACATTCATTCAAAACTGTGATAGACTACAAGTACTGAGTTAATGAGTTGAAGTTTACGTACATAGCTTAGTAGTATTGCTTTCCATCCATTGATTCTCTTTATTAATTTTCTCAATCAAATCTCTACAATCACCCGGGGAGAGCTTACCAGAGATTAAGGGTACCCCTAAGTATCTCACAGGGAAAGAAGCTTGCTGAAAACCTGCCAATTGTGCTAATCTTCAATGTTCTGCCTCAGTAACACCTACACAAAATAGCTGGCTTTTCTCTAGATTAAATCGTAACCCTGATAGAAGATATAATCTCTTAAGCAGATCACAAACAGTTTCAACTGCCCTTCTGAACCATTGGAGAAAATTAACAAGTCGTCTGCAAACACTAGTGGGTAATACCATACCAATCTGCTTGCATCTAGGGTGATAGGGTAGACCACCCCTAGCTGCTGATCAAGATAAAATACAGGAGAGGAACTCTATATCTACTATGAATATAAAGGGGGAGAGGGGATCCCCTGTCTAAGTCCTTTTTGTGCTGGAAAATAGTCACCAACACCTCCATTTACATCAACACTAAATTTGGGTGTAGTTATACAAGTCTGTATCCAACTGACAAACTGAGAGGGAATACCCATAGCTTTCAGGACAATTAGAAGAAATTTCCCAGTCCAACAAATCAAACTCATTCATCAAGTCTATCTTCATGGTACATCTAATCTAGGGGACATATGCTTTCTATTATAATCGTTCACCAATTCCAAAGCTAGAAGGATGTTATCACAAATACTCCTATCCTTCACAAATGCTGACTGGTTTTTACTTATCAGTTTAGGTATAGAATACTAGATAGTCTATTAGCTGCTAGGATTTTTTAAATGCATTTATAAAGCATTACAACATGCAATTGGCCTAAACAACTTTATATTGTCATCATCAAGTACCTTGGGAATAAGAGCAAGAACTGTAGAGTTGATCTCTTGTGGATGTGGTATAAAATTTGTTTCAAATAAGGATGAAACTGCCTCTGTTATCTTTACTCCCACTGTGCTCCAAGCTGCTTTGTAGAACTCAATAGTATAGCTATCAGGGCCTGGGCCTTATTTGAACCCATACCAAATAGATCTTCCTTGGAAACCTTAACACACAACCCTGTTCCTTCTTCTGCAGACAATCTATGATAAAGAAGCTCCTGAATCTCTTCTACTGAACATGCATGCACTTCACTATTTTTATCCCCTAGTAGCTTCTTATAAAATTCAACATCTACCTTGCCAATCTCCTCTACATCTGTCACCTATGTGCCATCATCCTTCTTTAGCAGCAAAATTGTATTTCTATGCTGCCTTATCTTTAAAGATTGTTGGAAATAAGCAGTATTTTGGTCACCCTCCGAGACAGCTTGAATCCTTGCCTTCTGTCGAAAAAAACCCCTCTTTAGTCTTTTGGAATAACAGAAAATCAGCTGCTACCTTAGCTTCTTTTTCAATCAAGTCAGGGGAAGGGTTAAGAAACACCAACTCCTGTATATCTCTTAAATATTTATCAGCCTGTCTAGCCCTTAAAGATATATCTGAATAGAACTCTGTATTTAGTTGCTTGAGGTTTCTCTTTAACAACCTCAACTTGTGACACACCCTATAGAAAGGGTAGCCTGCCACCCTCATACTCCATATATCTTCCAGTATTCCTTGAATTTCGGTTGGTCACTCCAAAAACTAAAAAGCTTAAATGGTTTAGGTAGTGTTTTTTGATGGGGAAGAGTATCGAGAAGAATACCATTGTGGTCAGAGTGCACTCCTGGAACCACTCTATTTGCACAGCTACTAGGAAATTGTGACATCTACTGACTATTAACAAAAACTCTGCCGATTCTTGGTGCAATATGATTGATTATTGACTTGTTTATTAACCCAACTGTACTTGCTCCTCTTAACCTTATGTTCTTCCAGATTAATTTAGTCTATATCCACTCCTTAAAATCCATTCCACTAGCATCAGGTAGTGTCCCATTAGAAGCATCTCTAGCTTCTAATATTGCATTGAAATCACCTAAAACAAGCCAGGCCTGATTAGATTCTTTCAATGCTCTGAATATTGTATAGTTATGTTTCCTGGCAGATTTATCATTTGGAGCATATACCACTCTGGTCTTACATGCCTCTAATCCCAGTGGTGACTTCTAGATGTAGGAAATGCTCTTCAGTGTCAGTGACCCGATGGATTAACTTCAAATCTAGGTTAATGAAATACCCATATAATATTCGACCATTTTGAGACTTGTCATAGTTATCAACTAATTTCCAGGTAGAGAAATAATTTCTGCAGATCTCCACCACTTTACTGTTTTGATCTCCAGTATTGCCATTATATCAATATATGATGCTGCCGGAGGAACTTACTGATAAATTATTGCTTTGAGGCTCTATTGAAGCCTCTCATATTCCATGAGGCCACTATCATTTCTTCCTAGTCTTCTTACCACCCCCTCCACCAGCACTGGTTTTCCTCCCCTTACTCCCTTAGGCAAAATTTCTTCAGATTGAATTGATGGGGCTGAGGTACTTGCAACTGAATGCCACTCATTTATCTATCTCAAGGGATATTTGACCCTCCTCTGCTTGCCGTAGTAGACTGAATAATGCTTTTCCTACCCTACACTACTTAATGGAATTCCTCCTTTGTAGGTAGCTCACCTTCTCTCCAGCACTTCAACTTCTTTACAATTTCCCACACAAGGAATGTCTAACTCCTTTGCCTCTGGTTTTGCAACATAGATCAATTTTGTTTCATGTAATTCAACATTCACCACCTCTTCTCCATGCTCTTCAACATTCACCAATTCAGTAATTGGTTCTGCCAATACGACTTCAACAATCATCACAACAGCCGCCTCATCTTGTAATCTTTCCAGGCTAGCTATATCTTGAATAATTGGCTCTGAGGCAACTTGTCCTACAACTAGTTCCTTATTTACAGTCTTCTCCTTGGGCATCCAAACCCTTTTGAACCGAGAAATCTTACTGCAATCATGCCCAAAGCAGTTACAAGTGTGACAGATGGGCAGGAGATTATAGTACTCCATTTGAGCAGTAAAACAAAGACCATCATCAAGAGCAAGATTCAGTACAGTAGGGCACTTTGAATCAACTTTGATTTCTACACAACACTTTGCAACCCCAATCTGACCCTCTATTGTAGTCACCTGATCCATACAAGAAGGCCTTCCTATCATATTAGCTATCTTGATCAAGCATTCTGGAAGATGACATTCCATGGGCAGCCCTAAAATTTTCACCCAGATCAGTAGCCCGGGCTTTTCAGGGGTCACTGGTAGCATCCGTTTCTCCCATTTCCTTAAGAACAAGTTATTACTCCATAGATGCCAAGGACCTCCACGAAAACCCATGACATTGTAGACGAGGAATTTTATAATGCTATATAGTATTGGTGTTATAGGTTTTTCTCTTTATAGGTTTGAATAGAATATTAGATATCATAAACAAAAATTTATAATAACTGTAGTATTCATTACGATATCAATTTTACAAGAAGGTCTTTTAATTTAGCAAATCTATCAATAATAGAATTTCATCCATTCCAATAGCATACTCTTTCTCAAAGAAAATATTTAAGCAATCAACGCTCATTTTAATGCACAAATCAATTTTCACATGTTCCATTGCTGAATATGTTCTCTCCATGGTAGCTGTTGAAACGGGCAAGATCGACACTAGACGAATCAACCAACAGATCTATCTGTATTGTGTGTCCATCCCTGTTTCCTCCAGCTTTTCTAGTAATTTTGCAACAGAAGAAACTTCATCTTCCTCACACGAGTAGCATAATACCGTATCCATTCTCCAATGAATGCATCCCATAGCCTTCAAAGTCTCGAGGTTAAACTGTTGAGCAAGTTTGTAAATATATTCTTCATCAAAAGATCGAAAAGAACAGTTAGGATTTAGTGAACCACTCAACAGGAAATCTAAATGATGACTCAACAAGTTTGTAAATATTTTCTTAATCAAAAGACTGGAAATAAAACCAGCGCCTGACGAATTGTTGGAGGAATCCATTTCGGGCCCATTCGTCTCCTCATTCTTGTTCTGTTTTGGGGGTATTGAGGAAATATTTTGAGTTTTGCAAGGAGGGGTGAACTTTACTTTAGAATTTTTTTTTTATTTCAGTGATAACTTTATACTTTTAGATTTTTAGGTTTTAATGTCTTTTTTCAAATAAAAATCATTAAGGATAGAATTTTTAGTCTAAATTTAGAGTAGTAGTTTGGATATGTTCATTTTAACCATTTTCTAGTTACACATAATCATATTATTAAATAAAATTGAAACTAAATTTTAAATAGCACTAGACCGAATACCTAACTCGAAAAATTTATAAGCACTATACTAGCTCTGAATCCAGAGGAGAGTTGGTTGGTGACCCGGATAGGCTCAACCCTGATCCGCCAATAAATTTAGGGGGATATTTCTGTGAAATAAATGAACTCTCTTCAATGAAACCATCCTCTCATCCTAACTGGAAACATAAATAGCAAGCAGTACCATCCTCCATACTCCTAAACTATAAGTCTTTCCCCCTTCTTTCTTCCTCCCCTCATTCTTCATCCCTACACCATCTCCCAATCTAATACTCCCATACGATAAGAAATTATTTTTGTAATGAATTTATTTTTTCTATCTATGGTTTGTGTATGTTGATTATATTTTAGGTACAATTTGTGATTGTTGAAGCAACATAAAAGTTGGAGCAAGAAACACTTCTAACAATAAGGTTAGCGGTGTTCGTTTGTCTTCAGTATATTAGGGTTAGTTATAATTATAATAATTCTTTGGATTCAAGGTAGATTGTATGATATATAAGAGTTTTAAATGCAGGTGGAATGTTAGATTAGGGTTTTGAATGAATATTGTTAGTTAGATTAGGATTTTGAACTAAAAATAATATAGGTCAAAATAGGTTATATAATTTTGATTGTATGTTAGATTAGTGTTCATAACTTATATTGAGCGGTATATGACATCTAGCATTTGGATCTTGTGTAAAATGACTTGTATGTGATCATAACTATTTTAAACCGGCTCCTCTACGGATCGCCTCCACACCATGCAATCAACCGCCACATGTCCTTCACCATCCTACATAGGAGAGATCCATGGCATTCTATTTGCACAAATCACATGCTTCTAGCGCAAACAATGTTGATCACAACATATTTAAGCATTAAAGTGTTGATCGCTTCTAATTTTGATGATAAAATTTGCTCACGTTAATTTTCGACAATCCAGTACTAGAATATCTTGAATGAGAAGTAATCCAACCCCAATTTAAATAAATTATGAATTTTTTAGTAACTCTTTCTTTTTTGTGAAAAAATCCAAATAACATCAAGTTGTTCATGATAAGGTCTAACGTTCCTTGGACCTGCTAAATCTATGAGTTTGTAATAGGTATTAGGAGTAATTCGAGGTCGGAGATAGTTTGTGTATATCTGAAAATTCATATTGCAATAATGATACTTTTGAGTATATCTATTAATTTTGATTGTAGTCTATTTACATTTGTTGAATTGAATTGCATATATCAGTCGGTTAGTGCAACCTTGTCAATTATAACTGAGCACCAATAACCTCTTTGCTAGAAAAAGAACACAACATTTACATGTTAAATGCAACAACACTCTATCCGAATAGATTGTGATGGGTTCTTTATATTAGTTGTAACAGTTCAAACTACTTGTTTGTTTTACTAGTCGGTTCACTTATAAACCGTCTAGTTCATTCTTGATGATCAGATTAGATTTTAGATCGATTAATGTGGGTCAAACTGGCTGGTTTAGTCCGATTCTAACAACACTGCAAAAAGTGTTGTGAACTTGTGATTAACCAAACCATGTGGAGTTTGTTGTGGTTTGTATTTCAAACTTCCACTTCCTACTCAATGCACGTGCCTACACATATTTTTTATCCGACAACAATTAGGTGAAACATGTACAAAGGCCATGTTGAGTGATACAATAACGAGAACTCGGGTTGTTTAAACTTTAAAGGCCAGTAGAGAAAAGAAACGACTTGACTAAATCAATAAAGAAAGAGAGGCAAAGTAATGGTCATGACTCGAGTCAAGTAACCAATAGACTTATAAAGGTCATATACAGAGCAAAATGAAACATGCAAAAGCAAAGGAATTTGGCTATTATGTTGACAACTATTGCACGAAAGAGAGTTTGATCAATAGGTATTCTTCCATGTTGAAAAAGGAGAAATTTCATATTCTTCCATGTTGGGAATAGAGTGTGACCAATTTGGTGTATAATTCAAATACACATATATAATAGCTATTGCTAACGACGAACACAAACTTGGTAGAGAAGTAAGAGGCGCGACGAGAAAATCAAGGGAGAAAAACCCGCACGAGATTATGATAATGAGTATTGGATCTTTCTAACTACATTCCTCTAACTATAAGCTTGGTATCAAAGGAAAAATGATGAGATTGTGTATTCGTGCCAAAGTTGCTCCAACTCTTATTATGCACCCGACATTTAATATTTTATGTGTATTGCTTTATTTATAGTGTATTAATGTATCTAGCTTCATTTATGATTGATGTATTATTGAGTGTATTGCCTTGACTCGTTTGATTTATAATTGATGTATGCTTTATTTCTATTGTATTTCTTCAATTTTTAATACATCTACCCTCTTTATTAAAACATTACAACAAGGAACGAAATACATAAATACAACGTGGGAAATAAACCAAAACACATAAGAAATATGTCAATAAAACATAGGAAATACTTAAATTAAAAGGAATACATTGAGAAAAGGGTAAATATAATATAATAGCCAAACCTTTCATTATAAATAAAATAATAGCCAAACCTTTGGAAAAACAAACTAATAGCCAAATCGTTAACTTTCCATCCAATTGACCGTTAGTTGACTGTGATGTGGCAAGTGGCAAGGTGTCAAATTGCAATGATGGAATTTATTCTCTGAACTTCACTATTTATTATTTTTAAAATACCCTTAGACGATGCCGAGGTGTCAAATTACCAAGGTCAAATCGTTTAATCATGTTTTGAATGTATTTAGACTGGCAAATAAAGATACCCTTAGATGACTGTTTTATTTGTAATCCTAGAAAGTAATTCAACTCACCCACAAGACTCATTTCAAAGTTTGTTTTCATAAGTTTTTCAACTTCTAAACACATTTCCTGATTAGTTCCCCCAAAAATAATGTCATCGACATACACTTGTACTAGCATCAGATGACTTTCCTCTTGTTTAGTGAAAAGAGTTTTATCAACTGAGCCTCTCAAAAAACCATTCTCTAAAGGTAGTGAGCTCAGTAGGAGCTTGTTTTAACCCATACAAGGCTTTTTTAGTTTATACACATGATTTGGATAATGGGGATCTTCAAAGCCATGTGGTTGAGACACATAGACTTCCTCTTTTAAATCTCCATTCAAAAAGGCACTTTTAACATCCATTTGTTAAAGTTTAAGTTTATTTGAACTTGCAAACGCACACAACATCCTAACAGCTTCTAGACGAACAACTGGTGCAAACGTTTCATCAAAATCTATTCTCTCCTCTTGACTATAACCTTGAGCTACCACCTAGCCCTGTTTCTAGTTATGACCCCTATTTCATCAAATTTATTTTATAGATCCATTTAGTACCTATAATGACTCTATTTTCTGGTTTGGGTACAAGTTCCCAGACATTAGCTCTTTCAAACTGATGCATTTTATCAAACATTGCAGCAGTCCAGAATTCGTCTAGCAGAGCTTCTTGGACAGTTTTGGGTTCAATCAGAGAGACAAATGCAGTATGAGATGATAAAGTCTTTGAACAAGTAATCATACCTTTGTCCACTGGTCCAATTATTTGATCTAGCGGATGCTTTTGATGATGTGCGCAGGAGGTTGACGATCTGCTGATTTTGAATTTGCTTCAATCTCAGTTCTAGGATGTTTCAAAATTGGCAGATCATCTCTGACTTCAGAATTATGTGGCAGTTGATCTCGGCTTTCATGATCTGCTTTCTCTAGAACTTGATTCTCTCCATCCTTATTGTACCCACTGTTGAAGGTCTCCCAAGACCAAAGTCGTCATCGTCAAGTGTATCTATGACAATAGCAGTTTCATCAAATACCACATTGATGGACTCCTCAACTTTTAGGGTCCGTTTATTGAAGATTCTATATGACTTGCTAGAGTTGGAATACCCTAGAAATACAACTTCGTCTGATCTGGCATCGAACTTCCCTAGATTGTCTTTTGTGTTAAGAGCAAAACATTTACAACCAAAAGTGCGGAAGTATCCTAGGTTAGGTTTTCTTCCTTTCCAAATTTCATAAGGAGTATCATTAATACCTGACCTGATCAGTGCCCAATTGATGACATAGCAGTCGTGTTTATGGCCTCTACCCAAAAATATTTTGGAATTCCATAATCATGTAACATGGTGCGAGCAATATCAATCAGGGTCCTATTTTTCCTTTCGACCACTCCATTTTGTTGAGGTGTCCTAGGAGCAGAAAAGTTATGAAAAATTCCTAGCTCATTGCAATAGAGTTCAAATGGATCCGAGGAGAATTCTCCTCCATGATCACTGCGAATGCTATATACTTTCAGCATAGTTTCATTCTCAATACGTTTGATTAAGTTCTTAAAGTTGACAAAGGCTTCATCCTTCTTAGCTAAGAACAAAACCCACGTGAATCTTGAGAAATCATCAACGACTACAAATGCATATGATTTTCCCCCCATAGCTTACCACATTTGTAGGACCAAACAAATCAAGGTGAAGTAGTTCCAAAAGTCTTGAAGTTTAGATGACTGTTTTACTCTTAAAACTAGATCTGGTTTGCTTTCCTTTGACACATGCATCACAAAAGAAATCTCGTTTTTCATTAATTTTAGATGACCTTTAACTAACCTAGATGAGCTAGTTTTTACAAGGTACTAACATTCACATGTCCTAGAAGCCTATGCCAATCCTGCTGCACATTTCTATCTAGACTAACCAAACATGTCTCATTGAAACTATCCTTGTCATTAAGGTCAATAGTGTATATCTTACCATTCCGTTTCCCTGTGAACAGAAGCTGTTTAGTCTTGATATTCTCAACGTAACAACAATTTGGTTCAAAAACAACTCTACACTCCTTACCACACATTTGACTAATTGGCATTAGATTGTGTTTTAGCCCATTAACTAGCATCACATTTTTTATGGAGGGACTAATCCCAACTTTACCTTTTCCTATGATTTCAGCCGAATTGTTATCACCAAAGAAAATCTTACCAAAGTTGCCTAAATTGAGATTTGAGAATAGATACTTGTTACCTGTCATATTCTATGAGCACCCACTGTCCATGATCCATTTAGTTGTCTCCATGCTCACTTGAAGATAGCTCTGTGAAGACAAATTCTTTTGTGAAGTCTCTTCTTCTTCCTCTTCATCAACAATTGCCATGAAAGATCTGTGTACTGTCACCTCATCATCCTCATCTCCTTCATCTTCATTGCCACTCCACGTAGCTGTGTACGCTCTTTCTCGTTTGAGTTGAGGACACTCTGCTTTGACGTGTCCTATTCTTCCACATTTAAAACATCCCGTGGTATTCACTCCCCTAGTGTTCTGACCAACCTCGTTTATGCCTCTTGTAACAGCTCGTGATTGCCCAGGCCTTGTGACTCCTTCATTTTTCTCTAGTTCCTTTGCTTTGGCACCACCAAATTTTTTCTCTTTTCAAATCCCGAGAAGCCGACTGATTTTGTTACTCAGAAGAGCGAGTTCCTCATCTTCCATGTCCTCGAGCTCTTCAGGTTCATCTACCAGACTGGTAGTCTTGAATGCAATCCCCCTTTTTCCTTTGTCATTTCCTTCCTTCTCTATACTGGCTTTATTTAGCTTGTCTTCATGAGTAGCTAGGGATCCGATTAATTCATCAATTGCCAGCCTCTCGAGATCCTTGGCTTCCTAAATAGTTGTTACCTTCAGAGACCATTTTCCCGGTCGACTCCAGAGTATCTTTCTAACAAGATCGCCACTTTCATACGACTTTCCAAGATTCTCCAAGCTATTCACTATGTTTGTGAATCGCTCATACATCTGTCGAATTGTCTCTCCTTCCTCCATTTTGAACAACTCAAACTGATGCTTTAACGAGTTGATTCGGGAAGTTTTGACTTGTGATGTACCTTCATAAATCATAAGTTACTTGGAGCTTGTCCCAAATCACCTTGGCCATCTTGCATCCAGCGACTTTATGATATTCTTCTGGCCCTAGGGCGCAATACATCAAATTGGTCACCTTGCAATTTTGCTGAAACTTCTCGTAGTCTTCATTTGTCAATTTCTCTTGACCGACTTTGAGTTCGTGTGACCCCTTGATGACACGAGCCCACAACTTTGGATACGTCGATCCTACGAACAACTCCATGTGATTCTTCCAGTATCCATAGTTGACTCCTTCGAATCGTGGTGGACGATTCCGAGATAATCCGCCAACTAGGTATAGTGGAGCAGCGCTAGAAGACCCTAATGCCATTCTGGATCTCACCGGAGATCGTTGAACATCCTTAATCGGCGATCGTGCTCTGATACCACGTGTTGCTGGCGTCAAGTGCAAGATGCCTGCACCTCTCTATACTGAAATTTCACCTGCGAACCCTAACTCTTCCTTTCTCTAAGAACAAATGAAGAACGAAGAAAGAAAATGGAATTTGATCGAAATGAAACAATGAACAAGAGAGTAAAGAGATGTTTCGTACAAACTCTCTTGTCATTGGGCTTATTCACTTGGGCCCGGTTCGTTTGTTAGTTGTAAGCCCAACACACTGTTCTCACGTGTTCAATTTCCCGAAGTTGTGCGTTTTAGCAACACACAACCAGCTCCTTCTTTCTGTTTTGCTGAATCACATCCCCTGCACACTGAAGAACACAATAGAACCTGTAGAAACAGAGTAAGAGCAAAACACAGAACTGGAAATGTAGAAGTAAACGGACACAACCACTTTTTACGTGGTTTCCAGAGCTGTGAGAATGAGAATCCCAACTCTGACTATTCCACCGTCGGAAGATCACGGTGTTGTGATTTCCAACGTTCCACTAAGTATGGTGTTCTCGATGTTCCACCGGAGTTACAATTTCGAAATTAACCAATCCAATCTTGGATATTTAATCAATCCTTTTTATGCGAGCTCCCCGGAGAATAAGAGGGAAGAAAGAGGAGAACGAAGAGACCCAGAACTCAAGTTATGATTTAATTTTCTAAAAGTACAAAATTTAATTTGTAAAAGGGATTTAATATCCATGTGGCAACTTCAAATATTTGATTTCTTGCCACTTAAGCAAAAATCCTCCAACTCACTTAATACTTTGCCACGTTAAAGTCAACTAACGGTCAATTGGATGGAAAGTTAACGGTTTGGCTTTTAGTTTGTTTTTTGAAAGTTAACTTCATCAGCTCTTCATCGCTCGTCCCGTCTTTGATGTTTGGGTCCTTTCTCCCTCATCCGAACTCCCAATCAGTCGTCGTTTGATCCTAGACGCTCGTAGTCTCATTCTATTTCTATTCATGCATAGATTACATGATTCTTTGTTCATAAAATGAGGTATAAATTCATTCTTTCTTGGGTCATGCCCGAGTTTCTTCTCCCGAGTCGCCAATTGATCTTTGATTGACTTGAAACTTGCGCTTATGCTTCATTTTACATGCTAGGACCCAAACTGTGACAAATGAACACAACACAACATAAAATAGGCCAAATTATGATAAATACAAAGCTAAACAATTAAGAAATGAGGGGTACAATAGGACATTTCTGATCATGATCATCACGGGAGCTCTTCGTGACAACTTCTGTATGCTCCACGACATCCTCATGATTGACTTCTTCCTCCTCCTTCTCTGCTTGTATTGTAGCATAAAGGATCTCTTGAGAAAACTGTGCACAAGCTTTCTCAATGACCTCTATGTACTTCTTTATGCTCCGAAGGGTCTCCTCTGTTTCACGGGGAAAGGAGAAGTCAGTTTGGACAATGGCATGGATATGAGGATCCATCTAGGGGAAGGATCTCTCAGGTACTCGAGCAATCTACTCCACGAGAAGTCTCAAGTGATAGTTTGGATCTGGCTGTGGAGTGTAGCATGGCTCTGCCGAATGGCCCGTGAAGGTTGTGGCTAACTCAAGATCTGATGGCCCTTCTCGTTGTGGGATGAATTCTTCTTGATAAGGATATTGTTCTAGAAATACCCGGGGTCTGATTGTTCTTTGTAGTAGGGGGGTGGTACTGAAACCCCACTCCATAGTCTTCTCCTCCTTGGTTGCTCCAGGAAGTCTCGGGATAATACCACTCGGGTGGTGGTGGATACCCCCAATGATTGGAGAAGTCATGAGGATCCATTTCATATTTGCACCAACAAAAACAGAACACCCAAGTGAAAAGAAAGGGTGGAAAAGAAAAAGAAAAATGCTAAAGTAACAAACTCCTGCCTTTCCTAATAATCTAGAAGTTCCCCGACAACGGCGCGAAAAACTTGACACACTACGACACAATTCCTTACAATGGCCAAGTGTAACCAATGAAAGGGACTGCAGTATAGTGACACAAGTAATAAATATCGAATCCATGGGTCTCTAGAGATACTATTACTAAGTTTCGGCTCATTATCTAGCAAACCAAATTAAGGATTGATTTACTAAACTACTCTACTAACTACTCTACTAATTACAGGTTGGGAACTCAGTTAGGTATGATTCCCCCTAACTCCTCAATTAGGTCCAAGTTGTATTTCCTTTTTGGTTGTTTTACTATTAATAAACTGCGGAAGATCCTAAATTAGCTTGGAATCTCTTAAGCTGACCTAGCCCTCTTAGACAGAATACCCGGCAGACGACTAGCCTTCACCGGGATAGACTGCTAAGGCAATTCACACATATCTCCACTATTGGAATGAATTCCAATACAAAGCAATGAATTGACTGAATATCGCAGAACCAATTCACTACAATCAATCGAGGAAGCTCTCTTAACCTAATCAAATTCTCTCTATCATAGGTTAAAGCATAAATCAAAATAATTTGATAAGGATTCAATTGACTCAATAAATCATGCCTTAATCCATTATAATCACACAATATAGCATCCAAAACTTGATACAAGAAAGATCCTAACACATGGAACTAGGGTTCCTCAAAATCTAAGTGAAGGGAAGTTACTCCATAGAGAAGAGAGAGATTACAGTATAACTTTCCATATATTCAATCTTCATGTATAGACTTGTTCCTTGAGCTTCAATGCTGAAGAATCCTCCAAAATAGCTCCAAGAATGGATCTAGATCGCCCTCTCTCTCTTTGATTCTTCCTTTGGATGTTTGGGAACCAAAACCCAGCTCTCTCTCTCTCTCTCTCTCTCTCTCTCTCTCTCCAAAAATCGCAAAATAGCCTTTATACCCGAAGATAGAATTTCGCACCACCAGCATGCACGACCGTGCAACTTCCTTGGCTGGCCGTGCAGCTTCTCGCAGAATTCATCACGGCCAGAGACTCGGTTTTGCACGGCCGTGCGACTTGCACAGCCACGATGCACGGTCGTGCGTCTTCCCAGACTGGTCGTGCACCTTCATCAGCTCTCCATCGCTCCTCCCGTCTTTGATGTTTGGTTCCTTTCTCCCTCATCAGAACTCTGAATCATTCGTCGTTTGATCCCAGACGCTCGCAATCTCGTTCTATTTCTTTTCATGCATAGGTTACATGAATCCTTGTTCATAAAATGAGGTATATATCCATTCTTCCTTGGGTCATGCCCGAGTTTCTTCTCCCGAGTCGCCAATTGATCTCCGATTGACTTGAAACTTGCCCCTATGCTTCACTTTACATGCTAGGACCTGAAATATAACAAATGGAAACAATCTAGCATAAAATACACCAACATATAATAAATACCAAGCTAAAAATCAAGAAATGAGGGGTAAAACCATGTACAAATTCAGTGTTATGTTCCATACACAAGTATAAGGAAAACACTTGTAAGTTTTTGGTGCAGGGAGAATGAGTCATGTCCTGCATCATACTTGCACCTCTTCAAGTATGATTCTTATTGAACAACATCATTCATCATTCAGTTGAAAAGATAGGGGCCAAATGATATTGATTTGTGAAGACCCTAATGTCATAGGTTTGATGTAGGTCAAAATAATCTTGCATTAATCGTATGTGATCAATTTCCTTGTTATGCATCATTGATTTTCATGATGATGAAATACAACGAGATAACGTTGCTTAATGTTTGTGCATGTGGATTCCGTATATCAATGAAAATTTCTCCATATTCATGTTCGTGTTATCACTCATACTCTTATTGCCTATCATTAGCTTCTGTTTGCTTATCATCAACTTCCCTTTCAATCTCATTAACTTGTCTACCAAGGGAATTCATGAAGCAAAATGAGTTTGTGGCCAGAGAGACGTAAGAAGGTTGAATTGTTCTTTTTTTAAGACTGAAGATTTAATTTTGCATTAGAGATTGTATCGGTGCATCTTAACTTCAACAACTTAGTGAAGTTAAGTAAGACTGATTTGGTTAGGGTTCTACCTCATTTATCATCGCACTCCTTAAGGTGCGAAAGCCACTCGAGTAAAGCGAGAGGGGTGAAGGGTTTATGCTAGCCAAGCAAGACCGTAGCGCTCTTTCAAAAGAATGCAAGTGACGAGCATCAAGGCCTTTGTAATTGATTCATACCAATATTTGGGGATCCATTGCAGTTACCGGCATCAGGAGAGGTTAGAATATGCTTGACTGTAAGGCAAGGAACAAAGTATCTCGATCGATAGGTTTATAATATGTGAGCCCGAAGGAACAAAGTAGATCGCCTGAAAGGAGAGGGGGAGAATATGTGAGCCTGAAAATTGGGTGAAGGGAGACTCAATTCAGTAAGGTAGGTCACCTCTCTCTATTCAAGTAAAAGGCAACTGCATTAATAACCTCGATTCATGTGCCTCTTTCAAAGCATATATTATGATTTCTTTCCGCTTTTGAATATCTCATACAGAGATAGGGGAAGAAGGTTGGCCCAGGCTCAAGGACGTCCAGTTTTTTATGCTCCAATTCAAATCCCCTGCATCAGGGCTACCTTTCTGCGTCCAACTATGGTAGAAAATATGCTCTAAGGCTGTTTGCACACGACCTCTCAAAGAAGGATGCAAGTTAGGCGGAGTTGTTGGGCATGTGAAGGTTGGAAATCAATGCTATGATTGAGGAAGTAGAGACCAAGACAGAGGAAGTCGATCCATCCAAAAAGCCTCACTACTCAATTCGTAGGTGACACCCTATGCTATCATCACGAAGATTTCCCTTCTTTGCTTCTTTTGTTTGAAATAGGACCGGACGGGGTCGAGTGATCAAACTGTCATTGAAATCTCACGCGCTCGAAGAACTCCTAGATAAACAAAAAGAATGAAGAAGAGAATCGTCTGTCGAAGTAGAAGCTGAGAATAATTTATTTCTATCTCCTTCCATTCAAGGAAATAACTCTTTATGCGGATCAACAAAGGTGAGATCAGCTCACTTACACAATGCAACTTAGAAGTTAAGTTCTTTGCCATGTTCTCTTACTAGCATCGAGTCTAATCGATTCCTAACAGTCGTAAGCCTGATAACTGGAAAAAGGCAAAAACACTAGCTGATAGAGATGGCACAACTCCTTCTTCTTTCTCTATGAGGAAGTGAACCAGATTCTGCTGTTAGTCGAAATGGATTGTACTAGGATGTGATCTTATTTATTGTTATGTGAATGAATGCTATGATTTCATCTCATACTTGTGTTTGTTTATGAAATTTTTTATGCCTGTGATTATGTATGGATGCTAATGGTGGTCATTGGTGTTTCTATAGTATGAATGCTCTTATATCATCGATGCTTATGATCATGTTGTGCGCTACTATATGCGTTGTACTTAGTATTAGCTTGGTGGTCAGTAAATTATCATCTGGGGATACCCCATTGATGATACATGAATATGTTAGGCTTGATCAACCATATATGCTTCAAGTAGTAATGCTTGATTGTTAGATCTTCGATTTTATATACTATATTTATGGTTTGTAGAAACCCACATTTAACTATAGGCTATCCTAACTTCCTTGTTCCTCATTAATTAGATAATGACATGAAACAATAGATGAACCATCAATGCATGATGTGAATGAGCCTTAGTTTGCATGATTGTCTTTGAGTTCACTACCTCTTAAATAATGTATCTTTACTTTAATACATCTAAATATCGAAAACCTCTAAACAACTTTATTCTTCTTGTTTGCTTGTTTATTTCAAGTATGTCATTATGGTTGGTGTGATTAGTTGTGCATTAAGAAGACCTCGAGGAATATGACCGCAGTCCGCAGGGTATCCCTAGGACTTTTATCACTTGCATGAATTCCACATCACCTCTCTACCGCCACTCAAGCCCTAATCTTCTAGAAGCCTTGCTCAAGGAGTTACTTAGTCTTCAAGGACTAGGGAACCCTTTCCTAATTAGTTTAGGAGTTTAGTTGAGTTCCTCCCCTACAAATTGAGGACATGACTCATTAGTTCATTGAGCCTGCATAACCACATACAAATAGCTTTTATAGGGGAGTCTGCAGTTAAGGATGTTGCCATCATCAATGGTGGTATCTTCCTTCTCTTCTATGTAGCTAGTTCGAAATTGATTCTATGAGGATGTGAACTCGTTTATCTGCATGAAAATGAATGCATGCTATGATTTTATGTCATGCTTGTGTTTATCTTTATGAATTTCAATGCTCATTGTATATGCATGGATGCCTAGTTTTTTATACCTTTGTGTGATCATTGTTGTTTTTTTAGTACGAATGCTTCAGAATCATCGATGCTTATGATTCTATTATATGTTACTATATGCATTGTGCTCAGTATCATCTAGGTTGTCAATGAATTACCATCTAGTGATACCCTATTGACGCTATACGAGTATAGAGGGAATGATCAACCATCTATACTTCGAGTAGTATCAATGCTTGATTGTTAGACCATCGATGCTATAGACCATCGATTATGGCTCATAGAGGCCCACACTTAATCATGTGCTATCCTAACTTCTTTGCTCTTCATTAATTTGGTAATGACATGAAGTGAAATCACGCATTAGCTAATGAAATTTCTATCGTAAGAGGTGCATGCACAAGTAGACAGTGGTCTTAGTTGAAGTGATTGGGGGAAAACATAGATTAAGCATTGATGCATGATGTGAATGACCCTTCGTATGCATAATAGCATTCGAGCTTGCCTTCTTTTACAATAACATATCTTTACTTTCATGCATCTGTTAATTGTAAAAAACCAAAATTTATGTATAATAGCATTTGAGCTTGCCACCTCATCAAATATGGATTTAATATTTTTTCTTCTAAATTTTAACGGGATATTTTTTTTTGTTTTAAGTCAGAATTTAATTTTTTTACATAGATAAATCAGAATAGTTGTGCTCTTCAAAATGATATAGACTTTGATATATTTTTGAAATATAAAACTTTCAGACATTTTGTACTAGTCTATACCATGGTGGTATTGTTTGGTATTACATAAGAGCATACCACATGGTATGGAAGTGTATCATGGTGGTATGAACATACTAGACTGTAGAATAGTTGAATACAAGATAGTAGGAATGTAATAACGGTCATTTAGAACTTTCAACATTGTGTACCACAAGATTCCAACCCTATATAAAGGTGGCATGGGGCATATAGTTAGTAAATACTTCATTTAATACATGTATATGTACCGTATGTATTTTATCCATTTAAAACTTTTGTATCCGTATTACTCCAAAGTCGTTTCATTTTTTCGTTCATTTGATGGTTCACGTACTAAACACGTATAAAACTCATATAACACTTTTAATATCCGTATTTAATGAATTAAATTGCTAAATTTACTATTATTTATATATTTATTTTTAAAATATTTAATTTTATATATTTATGGCTATATTAACGTACTATTAACTGTATATATTTATGAGGAAGTAAAATACCCGTATGTGTTTTATACGTAACTTTCTCATATCGTATCTTACTGTGGTATGGGGTGATATTTTTTGGTCTTGTATTTTTTCCTAGAAATTTGTAGATGCAGTTAGGGCTGGAAGCTTGGTACCAAACTTATCACGATTTTGTATTACCAAATACCGATTTATTTTTTAGGGATCGGTATTGGGATTCATTTTATAGTGCTATTCAGTATCCGAGATTACGGGATTGGGATCGATATATACCAAAATATATCGAAATACCGAGAAACAACAAAAATTAAAAATTAACAAAATATAGCACACAACTTTTGATCATTCCCCACTCTTTCATAACTCACAAGTTCCCATCCAACTCAATTTTGGCTTTCCAGTTTAAGTCACTCTCGTCTCTCATCTAATCTCTTGTTATTTTCATAACATCAAAAGAAAAAGCTAGGATTAGTCTTCTTTCAGCCTCCAATTCCTCGAATTAAAGATTACTAATTACAAGAATTTGAGTTGTCACATCTCCTTCCTTCTCCCTATCCATGTCCTAGCTCTAGGAAAACTCAAGACTCTTTTCTTTGTCTCTTTGCCCTAAATTAAACAATCAAATCTAATTTATATATTTAATTATTAATTGGAAAGGTAATTGATTTCGTATTCGATAATACCGAATGGGATACCAAAATACCGATTGTATAACGAAATATTTAGGGATTTAGATTGGGATACCGAATTTATATTGTGATTGAGATTGATTTTAGGGTGTAATACGGTATTGCCATTTTGGTATTTGATATTGGGATACCGATACACTACCAATTTCCACCCCTAGATGCAATAGATCATGACGAACTCGCTTCTTCTGTGCAAAAAATTTCAAAGTCAATTTAAGATGAAAGTTAATTTAAGATGAATCCTACTTTGGAGCTCAATTTGGAAAGCATGGATGCGAGTCAAGTCCAGGGGTCTCTACCACGTTAAATTACGTGTTTTTTTGTACAAAGGCAAGGCATTGGATGAAAGATTGAATATCTTTAAGGCTTCAAACAAAAGGCTCGAAGTTGCAACGAAGGCTGTTTTTCTGGCAGCTTGCTTGTGCTCGAAGTCTGCCAGAAAAAGAGCCTCCGTAGAAACTTTGACCATTTTGTTTGAAGCCTTACAGATATCCAATCTTTCATCCAATGCTTGAATTTGTATAAAAACATACCTAATTTAACGTGGTAGAGGCTCCTGGACTCGACTCGCATTCATGCTTCTCGAATTGAGCTCCAAAATAGGCTTCACAAACACGTTTCCATACTTAGCCATTTCCAGGCAGTTTCCCAGTTTTGGCATAGCCTTTTGATGAGGTTCAAAAGCGGTCTTCTGGAATTCCTATCGAGCTCTCAATCACTTCAATATGTAGATGGACACTTCAGCTTCAAAACAAGTCATTAGTCTTCAATTTCCATCTAGCCAATTGTATGATATGAATATCCAAAGTAGACACCATGAACTGTTTTTACACTGAAACAACATATTAGGTCGACCTGATCCTATATGAGGTCGATCAGATCCTATATGAGGTCGACCGAATTCTAAATGTGGTCGACCTAATTCTAACTGAGGTCGACCGGCAAGTGCAATTCACCGTCAGTGGCGGAGCCACTTGGAGAGGAAGGGGTGCAAGCACCCCCCTTGGGTTTGGAGAAAATTTTTCCGAGTAGGGGTATATACAAATTCGAACAAATGACCATTTAGTTGCAGAAAGAATTTCTTATCATTTCAATCGAGTGAGTTTTGTTATGCAATGCACTTTCGTTTTTATTTATAGTAATACATTGTTGTCTTTTGTTTAAACTCGCTCATTTTTTATTTATTTTTGTAGCTCTACAACAGAGAAATTTCTTGTCTTTTGTTTAAACAAAGTTAAAAGTGAAGAAGTACCAATTGAAGTTCACTTGTTTGTTTCACAAAATCAATTCCAAGGTACTTCTTAGTTCTAATTCGTAATATTTGATTAATGGAAGTCTTGATTTGTATGTACTGAACTTATTTGTTTGACGTTGTAACCGATGTACGTGAAACTATTTTAATGTAATTGTATGAATTTAGAGTATTGCGTTGTTGCCTTTTTGTTTAATTTAAAGTTGACCTTTTTATTGTATAGGTGAGTTTTTATGATATGACAAAGACACCCCCTTGGCCAATTTTCTGGCTCCGCCACTAGTCACCGTGACATGCATGTCACCGTAGGCACACCCCAACAATACATCTGCGCAAAATAATTGTGTAAACACGAAAAATAAAATTAGAGGCGATTAAAAATAACTATAGAAAAAAAAAATCATTAGTTCTCAATCATTACATCTGAAACCACTTAAAATGAAAGAAGGCAAAACGGGAAACAAATTCCACCACAATATGCACTTGAAGGGAGTGAAACAGATAAGAAGCAGTGCCCAGCTTTCATACGAGACCAAACAGAAATGAATACAAGAAAAAAAAGGCACAAACAACCATTATACAACTGCTCAGGTTCAGACGACGAAATTTTCAATTACAAAGCAATGTGTAAAGTTCCTAGCTTCCATAAAACAAAACCGTACAAATCAAGAGGCAAAACAAGAAATTTACAAAACAAAATTCTGGTATCGAAAAAACCCACTAGTCGCCTTTCGAATTACTCACCCCTCTCAGTTAACGTTTTCACGACGAGGTGCAACACATGCTGCTCTTGGCCGGAATCACTTGTGCGGGGCCAGGTACAAGGATTTTCTTACCAGCTAATGACCCCGGGTTGCCATTGCTCTGACTCTCATCGGCTACCAGGCTCTTCTTGTTCACGATATTGAAGATCTCTGTCAACACGGTCACAAAGGCGCTCTCGACGTTGGTTGCATTCAGTGCGGAGGTTTCCAGGAAGAACAAGCCTTCCTTCTCGGCAAACTCCTTGGCATCCTCCGTGGATACTGCCCTCTGATCCTCGAGATCACACTTGTTACCAATCAGTATGATGACTATATTCTTGTCAGCATGACCCCGCAGCTCTTCCAGCCAGCGTGGGATGTGATCAAAGGTTTGACGCTTGGTTATGTCGTACACCAGCATCGCTCCTACGGCTCCCCTGTAGTATGCACTCGTGACAGCTCGGTATCTGCATGTGATCAGATCACAAAGCAAAGAAGGGTCATTGAGGAGTAGCCAGTTCGCAAGCTCAAATATTGCTACATGGGGTATATAGTCCTTGGTCAGTAGAAATTTAAACCAACCCATCAAAGTAATCATCCATAGATAGGATTTCCAGTGTTCTGCTTTCTGCAGTACACATTTTAGCCTTCTAGCCTCACATGACATAAAATCAAGCACATGATTTTGTAGGTATCAACCAAACCTTTCCAGACTGTTCATAGAGTCTAAAGAAAGTACTTGGGGAGGCTAATGATATCAAAACTCAGGGTTCTTTCCTTCTCTGAATTTTGCTCCTTCGATGAAATACAGAGTTCCCTTAGATTATAATCTGACCTCGGGGTAGTGCTGCCTACCCGGAAGGTCCAGCTCTGGAGAAAAAGGAAGTCCAGCAAAGCCATTCGGAATTCAAGAAATCGAGCAAGAAATGTGGCTATACAGGCAAATCAAGAGATCCATGCTCAAGATCATGGTGTGAATGACATAAGAGTCCGACACATAGTCGACAGAAGCACTACATAGGGTTTATCAGCAAGCAAGACAGCCTTAGGAACCTAGCAAGAACTTCAGGGCCAACATTATTTACAGAATAGTTCCCCCAATTGATTCCTTTCATCTAACTTCATCTCAATTTGGGACAAAATTCCGAGTTTTGCCCAAATAGGAAACCACCATTGGCATCACTCCACTACTATCCACACAAACTTAAGAGATCAATATTCTGCTAAGCGACTACTCCAAAGATTAAAGTTCAGAACCAACCAAATTCCAAAATCCACCAGATCCCAAGCCATGCATATGCCAAATCTGGAAACCTAAATCCTTAACACAAACGAACAGAAGCTTAAAGGACAGCAAGAACAGAAGCGCGAGAGAGGTGGGATGGGAAATGAGAGAGATTTTTAGTACCGCTCTTGGCCGGCAGTATCCCAGATCTGAGCCTTGACGCTCTTGTGCTGGATAACCATAGTCCTGGTCTGGAACTCAACGCCGATCGTGGCCTTGGAGTCAAGACTGAACTCGTTCCTCGCGAATCTAGCGAGTATCTGAGATTTCCCGACGGCCGAGTCTCCGATCAGCACCACTTTGAAGACGTAGTCCACTTTCTGACTTGGATCCCCGTAGCCCGCCATATTCAACAACTACTGCCGCTCTGATCCCTGGCTATATCTTCACCAGCTTCGATCTTTCCTCAACTCTCTCAAGTAAAGGAGCAGACAGATCGACCAAATTCCGGAGCAGAAGCAGGAGCAGGTCTGGCTTCCGGCAGAGATCTTCTGCTCCTTAGGGGACTTGGTCAACTAAATTTCACTAGCGGGGTCAATCATGAAGAACGGAGAGTCGATCTAGTGTTGCCGAGACTTGCGCTTACGGAGTAGAATCTAGGCTCACAAGGTGCCACGTTGAAACTGATGTTACTGCTTTTGGATCCGTGGCGGAACTGGATTTGATTTCTTTGGTCGGTCTAATTTTTTAATCTAACCGGCCACCGGCCAGGCTTCAGGCTTGTGTCGCATTTTCTTTTGAACCACTTTTATTTGAGTGGGCTGTTTTGGAATTGTTGAGGGTGGAGAAAGATGGCCATTTGTGACTTGTGAGGTCCATGTGACTTGGTCTAAGACTAGTGTCTCAGAAGGATCGAGTAAATTGAGCTCGAGACGAGGAACCAAGGCCCGGCCTTGAAGCATCAGGTGACGGACGGGAGGCTTTTTTCAGTTTTTCCCCTCGACACGTCATTGGTTGGTTGTTGTCCTATGGTATTTAGAGGTGTTAATCGGCCTCCAATTTGCAGTGACGGTGGTCAATTTGAGACCCTTCTCGATGTCAATTATTCATAGTTGTGGTATAGTTTGAAGACCGAACTGAACCGCCTAACATCCCTAATGATACTTAACCATTTCCTTACATGTCCTCAAATCAAACCCGGCTCATGGGCTTGAAGTTTGCACATGCCTTTCCATACGATGTGCTTTAAGATAACGGTTCAGATTGGAGGTTGTGAGAACTTGTATATGTGATCTCAAGGACAAACCAGTTCTGATATGCTTTACATCTAAAAATATCTTGTATCATATTGATTATTTAGAAGACATTTGTTGTCTTTATAAGGCCTGATTAATTATAACAATTAATGCTATTTAGACTCAGCCTCATGGTACTTGATTTGAAGCCCAAAAGACTAAGTTTGAGACGACCACGTTGGTCAAGGGATCTGGCCACGTTGATTGCGAGGTCTGACCACGTTGGTCGTGAGAGGACATGTTGTGTGGAGTCACAAGGAGACTATGACATATACCAAGTATAATCAAAACCTCTCTCTTTTGTCTCTCTCTCTCTCTCTCTTTTCTCTCTGAGCGTTTCTAGGGTTTGCGATGGCAGCCGTCATTGACGGAGCCTCGTCGGGCGCCGTCAGCGGCGGCAGGTCTTGGGCATCGTTGTTTCATGTGGCATATGAGAATCGGCTGGAGTATTTTGAGCCTAAGATGGTGAATGGTTCGCTAAGAATCCCCAAATCGGTTATCGAGGAGGGGGGCGAAGAAGTGGGAGCATAGCCTCGTCGTGCAATTCCTGGTTTCTCTTCCATCGCTATCGGCGCTTCAGAATTGGGCTAATTAAATCTGGGGTAGGGATGGGGCTGTCAAGGTTTCGTTACTAGAAGATCATCTTGTTCTTTTCCAGTTTCCCACAGAAGAGGTTTGTCGATGGGTGTTCGAAGGAGGGCCGTGGCATTTCAAAGAGAAAATTGTTTGTCTCAGGAGGTGGGTTCCAGGGATTAAAGCGTTGGATATTGATAACACTGTGGTCCCTGTTTGGATCAATCTTTCTGGGCTCCCTGCGGAGCTAGCCTTGAGAGAGGGATTGGGACGGATTGCTAGTGCAGTGGGCAGACCTCTATGTATGGATCATTCAACTATAAAGCGAGAACGTGTAGGTCGGGCTAAGGTGTGTGTGGAGGTTAGTGCGAAGAAGGCGAGGGTTGACAAGATCAGTGTTACTCCAGATGACATGGCTGAGTTCTCCATTGGAGTGGAATACTGTGGGCTTCTGAAATGCTGTGCTAAGTGCCAGGTTTTCGGGCATGACTGTGCAATACTGAAGCCAGGGGTGCAGACAATGCAGGTTTGGAGAGTTAAGCAGGCTCAGGTGGTTGTCTGGACAAAGTTGCAGAAGGGGAGGGAGTCAAGGAGGCGGCAGTGGAAAAAATGGATAAAGGGAAAGAAGTTGTGGTTGAAGCTACCCCTCCAATAACTCCAAGTGCCTTACCTACTCAGGAGGAATTTAACAAAGTCATCAATAGAGTTAAACCCAAACCGAAGAAAAATGCTTAACATGTTCTTCATTCAAATGCTTTTGAGGTGTTGTGTGGTAGCAGGATGATCAGTTTGCAGCCTCCACCAAAGAAGACAACTAGGGAGGGCTTACGCAGTCAGGAAGGAGCCACTAAGGTGGTGAAACCTCGACAATGACAGTTCTTATATGGAACACGAGGGGCTTTAATAGCCCAAGGAAGCATGTAGCAGTGCTTCAGTATCTGAAAAATGAATAAGGTAACTTTGTTTGCTCTATTAGAAACTAGAATACAAAAAGAAAAAAGATTGGGGAAATAAGGCAGAAGTTCAGTGGATATCAGTTTGCAGATAATTACAAAAATCACAAATTGGGCAGAATCTGGATTGGTTGGAGTGACGAGGTTCAGTTGAGGATTTTGGCTACAGAGGAGAATTACATTCATACTTTAGTGTCTCTTGAGAATAATGATCAATTTTTCTTCACAGCGGTTTATTGATCTAATGAAGAGAAAGAAAGGCTGGTTACATACAGGAGTTTGAGTAAATGGAAAGTTCAGGGTTTCCCTTGGATGATTGGAGGGGACTTTAACGCTTTCCTGCATCCCTCGGAGGCTTCGAATGATGTATCTATTTCTAATAGTACTACTGATCTCAGAGAATGGGTTATACACATGGAAATTGTGGATCATGCTGCCACTTGACCATTATTCACGTGGTCAAATCAGCAGAAGGATAATCCAATAGCAAGAAAACTAGATAGATTGATGGTGAATGTTGAATGGTTGACTGGTTTTCCTGAATGTGTGGTTGCATTTCTAGCTCCAGATTTCTCGGATCCCTGTGGTATTCTGGTTACCCCTAGACTTCCAATGAGGAAATTTCCAAAACCGTTTATAAGTTTTTTGACATGTGGCTTCAGCAAGAATCTTTTAATTCACTCTTAGAAACAAGCTGGGCTACTGAAGTCTCGGGTGTTGGGTTATGGAGTATCAAACAAAGGTTAAATATATTGAAACAGGAGTTGAAAACTCTGAATAAGAAGGAGCTGTGGGATATCTCTGGGAAGGTATTGGAGAAGGAAGGGGAGATGAAATCTATACAATTAAGAGCTCTCGAAGACCCTTCACAGTATCATTTTGCAGAAGTTAGGAGGGGTATTGAGGAATTTTTACACTTAAAGATTGCCGAGGAGTCTTTTTTCAGACAACGGTCCAGGATATCATGGCTCTCCCTGGGAGATTTGAACTCTTCTTTCTTTCATAACACTGCTAAAATCAGGGCTGCCAGGAAACAGATAAGAAAGCTCATTGCCTCCTATGGGGAGGTGCTTACAGATGTGGGGGATATAGCAGATGAAGCAGTAGGCTATTACAAGCATTTATTTGGTTTGGTGAATCAGGAGGTCTCTGTAGATGAGGCTCTTATTGAAGGGTATCTTACACATAAGCTTGGCCTCGAGGATCAGAATGATTTGTGTAGGGAAGTGACTAGCAAGGAAATTTATGAAGCTTTGTTTGATATGAACCCAAATAAGGCACAGGGGCCAGATGGTTGGACTGCAAACTTCTTTCAAAAATGCTGGGGGACTACTCGACCAGATGTTGTGGAGGGGGTTCAGCAGTTCTTTAAAGACTCTAAAATGCCAAAAGGTATGAATTCTGCCTCCTTAACCCTTGTGCCAAAGGTTGCAAATGCTGATCAATTGAACTCATTTAGACCTATAGCTGCATTAATGTTCTCTAAAAAATCATTTCCAAAGTCCTAGCAAATAGGTTGAAGAATGTACTTGCCTCTGTCATTAGTAGGAACCAGTCTGCCTTTATTAAGGGGAGAAGCATTGTTGAGAATATATTGATGGCCCAGGAAATTGTACATGATTACAAAAAAGTAAATATTTCTTCAAGATGTGCAGTAAAGGTAGATCTACGTAAAGCTTTTGATTCGGTTGATTGGGGATATTTGATGGTGGTTATGGAAAAAATGGGGTTTCCACAGAAGTTTTTGCAGTGGATTAGGGTCTGTTTGAGCTCTGCTAGTTTTAGCATCTCTGTTCATGGGAGTTTGTTTGGGTTCTTTAATGCTTCTAAGGGGGTTAGGCAAGGGGATCCCCTTTCCCCTTACCTATTTACCATAGCCATGGAACCCCTTACTGGAATGCTGAATCAGGCTGCTTCTCAGGGTATACTTCCTTTCCATCCACAGTGTGAGAGCTTGGGATTAACCCATCTGAGTTTCGCTGACGACCTATTAATATTCACTGAGGGGTCAGCGTATGCTTTGAATAGTTTGAGATCCATATTGAATGTTTTTTACAAGCTTTCTGGGCTCCAATGTAATCCAGATAAGTGTGAGGTCTTCTTTGGGGGTTATGCACATTAGTTTAAATAGAATGCTCTTAGGATATCTGGATTCAAAGAAGGGACTTTACCTGTGAGATACCTGGGTTTGCCTCTACTTGCTTGCAAACTTTCCAGTAAAGAATGTGAAGTTTTGATAGATAAGATTACTAGCAGAGTCGGGAGCTGGAGGGCAAATAAGCTGTCTTATGTTGGGAAGCTTCAGTTGGTAGAATCAGTTTTATACTCGTTGATTCACTATTGGATGGCCATTTTTCTTATACCAAAGACGGTTCTTAAGAGTATCCAGAAAATCTGTTATGACTTTATCTGGCATGGGGATAAGTCAGGCAGAGCTAAAGCTGCTTGGGATGTTATAGCTATGCCAAAGAAAGAGGGAGGGCTAGGCTTGAAGGACTTGATTACTTGGAATGTGGCTTCTGTGGCTCGTCTTATTTGGCTGCTTCTCCTGCAGGGGGGGTATCTTTTCGGTATCCTGGATAAATC